AGAAAAAGTTTTGGAGTGAGATTAAAGTTTAAAAAAGCCTAGAGAACAAATGGATTTGTCAGTTTTAAAAAAAGGAGAGGAGAGTTATTAAATGGAGAGTTAGAGGTATTGGGAAGATGGAAGGAATATTTGAGGGAAATTTTTAAATGTTTATGAAGATAGGGAAGCTGTGGATTCGTGTATAGGGCAAGGAGGAATAACATCTTGTAGGAGTGAGGAAGAGCCAGTTGTGAGTGTGGGGGAAGTTCGTGAGGCAGTAGGTAAAATAAAAGGGGGGTAAGGCAGCCGGGATTGATGGGATAAAGATAGAAATGTTAAAAAGCAGGTGGGGATATAGTTTTGGAGTGGTTGGTGCAATTATTTAATAAATGTATGGAAGGGGGTAAGGTGCCTAGGGATTGGCAGAGAGCATGCATAGTTCCTTTGTATAAAGGCAAAGGGGATAAAAGAGAGTGCAAAATAATTTAGGGGGATAAGTCTGTTGAGTGTACCTGGTAAAGTGTATGGTAGAGTTATAATGAAAGAATTAAGAGTAAGACGGAGAATAGGATAGCAGATGAACAAGGAGGCTTTAGGAAAGGTAGGGGGTGTGTGGACCAGGTGTTTACAGTGAAACATATAAGTGAACAGTATTTAGATAAGGCTAAAGATGTCTTTGTGGCATTTATGGATTTGGAAAAGGCGTATGACAGGGTAGATAGGGGGGCAATGTGGCAGATGTTGCAAGTGTATGGTGTAGGAGGTAGGTTACTGAAAGCAGTGAAGAGTTTTTACGAAGATAGTGAGGCTCAATTTAGAGTATGTAGGAAAGAGGGAAATTTTTTCCCAGTAAAAGTAGGCCTTAGACAAGGATGTGTGATGTCACCGTGGTTGTTTAATATATTCATAGATGGGGTTGTAAGAGAAGTAAATGCGAGGGTCTTGGCAAGAGGCGTGGAGTTAAAAGATAAAGAATCACACACAAAGTGGGAGTTGTCACAGCTGCTCTTTGCTGATGACACTGTGCTCTTGGGAGATTCTGAAGAGAAGTTGCAGAGATTGGTGGATGAATTTGGTAGGGTGTGCAAAAGAAGAAAATTAAAGGTGAATACAGGAAAGAGTAAGGTTTATGAGGATAACAAAAGATTAGGTGATGAAAGATTGAATATCAGATTGGAGGGAGAGAGTATGGAGGATGTGAGTATTCAGATATTTGGGATGGACGTGTCAGCGGAGGGGTCTATGAAAGATGAGGTGAATCATAGAATTGAGGGAAAAAGAGTGAGTGGTGCACTTAGGAGTCTGGGAGACAAAGAACTTTGCCCTTGGAGGCAAAGAGGGGAATGTATGAGAGTATAGTTTTACCAACGCTCTTATATGGTGTGAAGCGTGGGTGATGAATGTTGCAGCGAGGAGAAGGCTGGAGGCAGTGGAGATGTCATGTCTGAGGGCAATGTTGGTGTGAATATAATGCAGAGAATTCGTAGTTTGGAAATTAGGAGGAGGTGCGGGATTACCAAAACTTGTTGTCCCAAAGGGGTGAGGAAGGGTTGTTGAGGTGGGTTTGGACATGTAGAGAGAATGGAGCGAAACAGAATGACTTCAAGAGGTATCGTCTGAAATGGAAGGAAGGCGGGGTAGGGGGCGGCCTAGGAAGGGTTGGAGGGAGGGGGTAAAGGAGGTTTTGTGTGCGAGGGGCTTTTGGGCTTCCAGCAGGCATGCGTGAGCGTGTTTGATAGGATTTAATGGAGAAAATGGTTTTTTAATACTTGACGTGCTGTTGGAGTGTGAGCAAAGTAACATTTATGAAGGGATTCAGGGAAACCGGCAGGCCGGACTTGAGTCCTGGAGATGGGAAGTACAGTGCCTGCACTCTGAAGGAGGGGTGTTAATGTTGCAGTTTAAAAACTGTAGTGTAAAGCACCCTTCTGGCAAGACAGTGATGGAGTGAATGATGGTGAAAGTTTTTCTTTTTCGGGCCACCTGCCTTGGTGGGAATCGGCCGGTGTGATAATAAAAAAAAAAAAAAAAAAATATATATTTATTTATTTAATGCTTATACATAAGTGTGTGTATAAGTATATACACGTGTAAAGTTGTAATCATTCTCACTGTATGTTAATGTTAACAATATAACGTGTGTCCCTCCTATATGTGCCCAGCCCAGGTTAGTAATATCTACTGTCACATACCACTACATATATGCAGGTTGTATCGTGTCCATTGTGAGCATGATGCAGGCATATATGTCTGTTGGTAATTTTGTGTATTCATCTATTCATCAACGTAGCAGCAGCCCATTGTTGATGTAATATATCCATTTTTTATATTATGAAAATAATATAACAAATTGTAGTCTGTTAAAATGTACATGTATAGCCAGATATTATGACTTTAGACTTCTCTGCGCTTCCCCTCTCTTTTACATCTGTCTCCTGTGTATAATTTATCATGTCTCCGCTCTGGGATGATAGAGATATCTTCATAAAAATTTCATTTCTGGTGTGTACGTGATGGGTCATCCTGAGAGATGGTAATTCCCAAGTGACAGTAACAGCAGCTCTGCTGGAAGGTAAACCTTTGATGTTGTCGTAGCTGATGATCCCTTACTGGAATACTTGACCATATCCTTATTGTCTTACTGAAGTCTGCCAGCTTAGACTGACACTACTGAAGTCTGCCAGCTTAGACTGACACTACTGAAGTCTGCCAGCCCAGACTGACACTACTGAAGTCTGCCAGCTTAGACTGACACTACTGAAGTCTGCCAGCCCAGACTGACACTACTGAAGTCTGCCAGCGTAGACTGACACTACTGAAGTCTGCCAGCTCAGACTGACACTACTGAAGTCTGCCAGCCCAGACTGACACTACTGAAGTCTGCAGCTTAGACTGACACTACTGAAGTCTGCCAGCTTAGACTGGACACTACTGAAGTCTGCCAGCTTAGACTGACACTACTGAAGTCTGCCAGCTCAGACTGACACTACTGAAGTCTGCCAGCTTAGACTGACACTACTGAAGTCTGCCAGCTTAGACTGACACTACTGAAGTCTGCCAGCTTAGACTGACACTATGAAGTCTGCCAGCTCAGACTGACACTACTGAAGTCTGCCAGCTTTAGACTGACACTACTGAAGTGTGCCAGCTTAGACTGACACTACTGAAGTCTGCCAGCTCAGACTGACACTACTGAAGTCTGCCAGCTCAGACTGACACTACTGAAGTCTGCCAGCTTAGACTGACACTACTGAAGTCTGCCAGCTCAGACTGACACTACTGAAGTCTGCCAGCTTAGACTGACACTACTGAAGTCTGCCAGCCCAGACTGACACTACTGAAGTCTGCCAGCTTAGACTGACACTACTGAAGTCTGCCAGCCCAGACTGACACTACTGAAGTCTGCCAGCTTAGACTGACACTACTGAAGTCTGCCAGCTTAGACTGACACTACTGAAGTCTGCCAGCTCAGACTGACACAAACGGGAAGTCTGCCAGCTTAGACTGACACTACTGAAGTCTCCCAGCTCAGACTGACACTACTGAAGTCTGCCAGCTTAGATGACACTACTGAAGTCTGCCAGCTCAGACTGACACTACTGAAGTCTGCCAGCTTAGACTGACACTACTGAAGTCTGCCAGCCCAGACTGACACTACTGAAGTCTGCCAGCTTAGACTGACACTACTGAAGTCTGCCAGCTTAGACTGACACTACTGAAGTCTGCCAGCTTAGACTGACACTACTGAAGTCTGCCAGCTCAGACTGACACTACTGAAGTCTGCCAGCTTAGACTGACATTATGAAGTCTGCCAGCTTAGACTGACACTACTGAAGTCTGCCAGCTTAGACTGACACTAACTGAAGTCTGCCAGCTCAGCTGACACTACTGAAGTCTGCCAGCTCAGACTGACACTACTGAAGTCTGCCAGCTTAGACTGACACTACTGAAGTCTGCCAGCTCAGACTGACACTACTGAAGTCTGCCAGCTCAGACTGACACTACTGAAGTCTGCCAGCTTAGACTGACACTACTGAAGTCTGCCAGCTTAGACTGACACTACTGAAGTCTACCAGCTTAGACTGACACTACTGAAGTCTGCCAGCTCAGACTGACACTACTGAAGTCTGCCAGCTTAGACTGACACTACTGAAGTCTGCCAGCTCAGACTGACACTACTGAAGTCTGCCAGCTCAGACTGACACTACTGAAGTCTGCCAGCTTAGACTGACACTACTGAAGTCTGCCAGCTCAGACTGACACTACTGAAGTCTGCCAGCTTAGACTGACACTACTGAAGTCTGCCAGCTCAGGCTGACACTACTGAAGTCTGCCAGCCCAGGCTGACACTACTGAAGTCTGCCAGCTCAGACTGACACTACTGAAGTCTGCCAGCTCAGGCTGACACTACTGAAGTCTGCCAGCTCAGGCTGACACTACTGAAGTCTGCCAGCTCAGACTGACACTACTGAAGTCTGCCAGCTCAGGCTGACACTACTGAAGTCTGCCAGCTCAGGCTGACACTACTGAAGTCTGCCAGCTCAGGCTGACACTACTGAAGTCTGCCAACTCAGACTGACACTACTGAAGTCTGCCAGCTCAGGCTGACACTACTGAAGTCTGCCAGCTCAGGCTGACACTACTGAAGTCTGCCAGCTCAGACTGACACTACTGAAGTCTGCCAGCTCAGGCTGACACTACTGAAGTCTGCCAGCTCAGACTGACACTACTGAAGTCTGCCAGCTCAGGCTGACACTACTGAAGTCTGCCAGCTCAGGCTGACACTACTGAAGTCTGCCAGCTCAGGCTGACACATTTTAACACTACGTATGTAACCCATCCTGTGTGATGGAATATAACAGGGAAACAGAACTTTTGTTCCACAGTGTAACTGTTCTTTAGACTGATATACCAACATTCTCACCCTTGTCTCCTCCCTTACAAGTATGCCAACATTCTCACCCTTGTCTCCTCCCTTACAAGTATGCCAACATTCTCACCCTTGTCTCCTTTTCTCATAGGTATACTTCGACAACAGGACGCTGTTCGCCAACGTCACGTCTACACGTCCCAACTTCAACGTCAGTGGTCTGGACGCTGGTACCAGCTATCAGATCAAGGTGTATGTCACTCATGGTCCTGTCACCTCCCAGCCCATAGTGGTCTCTGCTTACACCTCTAGACCCTCCAGCCCGGGTTAGTACGTACACACTCATACATGCATACACATACATGCACATACATTCATACGTACACATACATGCAGAACAACCACTCTGAAAAACTAGTGAAATTCCAAGAATTTTCGTGATTTTTCACATCAGTTCCTTGATAATGTGAAAAATCATGAAATTTCACTATTTTTTTCACAGTGGTTGTTTTGCATATTGGGATATCACCTGTTTACCGTGATCTAATTGCATACATATACATATATACACATACCTGGAGGGGGGAGCGGGGGGTCAACGCCCCGCGACCTGATCCGTAACATACAAATATGTGCAGACACATACTCATGGGGCCAGGAGCTAGGACTCGACCCCTTCAACCTCAACTAGGTGAGTACTCAAAACAACCACTGTGAAAAATAGTGAACTTACATACAAACATTCATTCAATAAATAACCGCTTAATTGTCAATAATAAATGATATAAATGATTAAAGGCAAGGAAGAAAATGTTTAGTGCAGAGTATTGCAAGGTGACGCAGCACAGTGTGGTCGCTGATACAGGTTAGGTTAGGTAAGGTAACGTTAGGTAAGGTTAGGTTACTTTCACAAGCTAACACCAGAGTCACCATCGCTTCTACCACTTCAATAAAGGATCTAACCAGGACAAAACCCAAGCACCACGAACCAGTCAATGCAGGAGTTTACACTATACCCTGTGGAGGCTGTGACAAGATCTACGTAGGTGAAACAGCAAGAAACCTCGACACCCGCCTCAATGAACACATATACGCATGTAGGAACGACAACTTAAACAACGCCTGTGTACAACACCGAAATTCCACCAATCATCTTATGAAATTCAGAGACGCCCAATTAGTGATAAAAGAAACTAATTTCCGCACACGCAAGTGCCTTGAATCAGCACTGATCGCTGTTTCGAATACAATTAAACAAAACAACGGCAGCTTCACCATCTCCGAAGTCTTAGCAAGAATCCTCCTGAAAACTGTAAACCCTGCCATCACATAGTCTCTCCTGTTATACTACACAAAGCACAGAGAGTGAACACTGAAACAAGCTGCCTCATTCCAGTTTATATTTGTCCAACCTATTTTTATGTTACCCAAGTAATAGCTTTTATATCCTTTTACTCATGTACGAATTAATTGCTCTACCATATTGTATTACTTTTGTCACTACCACTACTACTACTACTACTACCACTAGTGAACATCGAAATGGTACCTCACTAGTATTCACCTCACTCTGAGCCTTTATATACCCTCTGTGTCCATGTATTGTTTGTAATGGCTTGATAAAGCTCCTGGAGAGCGAAACGTTGCCACAATAAATGTCACATTAGTTGCACTTGTGTCCTTTTACTTTACATACAAGGTTAGGTTAGGTTAGGTAAGGTAACGTTAGGTAAGGTTAGGTTAGGTAAGGTAACGTTAGGTAAGGTTAGGTTAGGTTGGGTAAGGTAACGTTAGGTAAGGTAACGTTAGGTAAGGTTAGGTTAGGTTAGGTAAGGTAACGTTAGGTAAGGTTAGGTTAGGTAAGGTAACGTTAGGTAAGGTTAGGTTAGGTTAGGTAAGGTAACGTTAGGTAAGGTTAGGTTAGGTAAGGTAACGTTAGGTAAGGTTAGGTTAGGTTGGGTAAGGTAACGTTAGGTAAGGTAACGTTAGGTAAGGTTAGGTTATGTAAGGTAACGTTAGGTAAGGTTAGGTTAGGTTAGGTAAGGTAACGTTAGGTTAGGTTAAGTAAGGTTAAATTAGGTTAGGCAAGGTTAGGTTAGAGTAGGTTAGATTAGGTTAGGTTTGTCAGGAAACAGGAAAAGTGAGATGACAGTGCAGTAAGTCAGTGTGTAGTAAGTGGACCAGCACTTTAAGGGGAATTAATCTCTCCCTTGCCCCCATTCTTACCCCTCACTTTTTCCCCTCACCGCCAACTTGCAACTTCTTCCCTCCCCCCCTGCCAAATACCAGTCATACCACCTCACAGTCTGCTGGACCTAATATCCACTCCTCCCCTCTCAACCATCCACTCCACTCCTGTCACCCAGCTAGCACACAACCCTTTCCGTCCCTTCTTCCCTTCCATCACCCCTTCCCTTCCATTCCCCTTACCTTCTATCACCCCTTTCCTTCTATCACCCCTACCCTTCCATCACCCCCTCCCCTTCACTAAGACACACAAACCAATCAAGTCATCAGACTCACTAAGCAAAACAGTACCACAAACATCCACACCACACCACTACAGTCTCTACCTCTCTACTTCTCTCTCTACCTCTCTACTTCTCTCTCTACCTCTCTCTCTACCTCTCTCTCTACCTCTCTCTCTACCTCTCTCTCTACCTCTCTCTACACCTCTCTACCTCTCTCTCTCTACCTCTCTACCTCTTTTCTACCTCTCTCTACCTCTCTCTACCTCTCTCTACCTCTCTCTACCTCTCTCTACCTCTCTACCTCTCTCTCTCTACCTCTCTACCCTCTCTCTCTCTCTACCTCTCTCTCTCTACCTCTCTCTGTCTACCTCTCTACCTCTCTCTACCTCCTACCTCTCTCTACCTCTCTCTCTCTCTCTCTCTCTCTCACTCCCCCTCTCTCTCTCTCTCTCTCTCTCTCTGCCTCTCTACCTCCCTCCCTTGTGCACAGGCCGCACCACCCTGCAGGCAGCACACACAGGTCGCACCACCCTGCAGGCAGCACACACAGGCCGCACCACCCTGCAGGCAGCACACACAGGCCGCACCACCCTGCAGGCAGCACACACAGGTCGCACCACCCTGCAGGCAGCACACACAGGTCGCAGCACACACAGGTCGCACCACCCTGCAGGCAGCACACACAGGTCGCACCACCCTGCAGGCAGCACACACAGGTCGCACCACCCTGCAGGCAGCACACACAGGTCGCACCACCCTGCAGGCAGCACACACAGGCCGCACCACCCTGCAGGCAGCACACACAGGCCGCACCGCCCGGCAGGCAGCACACACAGGTCGCACCACCCTGCAGGCAGCACACACAGGCCGCACCACCCGGCAGGCAGCACACACAGGTCGCACCACCCGGCAGGCAGCACACACAGGCCGCACCACCCTGCAGGCAGCACACACAGGCCGCCCCCACCCGGGAGGCAGCACACACAGGTCGCACCACCCGGCAGGCAGCACACACAGGCCGCACCACCCTGCAGGCAGCACACACAGGCCGCACCACCCGGCAGGCAGCACACACAGGTCGCACCACCCCCGGGAGGCAGCACACACAGGCCGCACCACCCGGCAGGCAGCACACACAGGCCGCACCACCCGGCAGGCAGCACACACAGGCCGCACCACCCTGCAGGCAGCACACACAGGCCGCACCACCCGGCAGGCAGCACACACAGGCCGCACCACCCGGCAGGCAGCACACACAGGCCGCACCACCCTGCAGGCAGCACACACAGGCCGCACCACCCTGCAGGCAGCACACACAGGCCGCACCACCCGGCAGGCAGCACACACAGGCCGCACCACCCTGCAGACAGCACACACAGACCGCACCACCCGGCAGGCAGCACACACAGGCCGCACCACCCGGCCCGGCAGCACCAAAACAGGCCGCACCACCCTGCAGACAGCACACACAGGCCGCACCACCCGGCAGGCAGCACACACAGGCCGCACCACCCGGCAGGCAGCACACACAGGCCGCACCACCCTGCAGACAGCACACACAGGCCGCACCACCCGGGAGGCAGCACACACAGGCCGCACCACCCGGCAGGCAGCACACACAGGCCGCACCACCCTGCAGACAGCACACACAGGCCGCACCACCCGGCAGGCAGCACACACAGGCCGCACCACCCGGCAGGCAGCACACACAGGCCGCACCACCCGGCAGGCAGCACACACAGGTCGCACCACCCTGCAGGCAGCATACACAGGCCGCACCACCCTGCAGGCAGCACACAGCAGGGGAGACCAGACACTGTTGGACGGGTATAAATGGTCCAGAAAACCGACAATTGGTAATTGGCACACTTGTGCAGCATTTGCGAATCTTTTGAATTCTGGGAATAAAGATTCCCAAATGTGTCATTGATCACATTATTGGGCCTCCATCACCCTCGTCACTCCCCCATCACCCACCCCATCACCCTCTACATCACCATCCCCCATCAACCTCCACATCCCAATCCACAGCACCCTCCCTCATCACCCTCTCATCACCCCATCATCCCCATCCATCACCCTCCCCATCACCCTCCCCATCATCCTCCCCATCACCCTCCCCATCACTCTCCCCATCACTCTCCCCATCACCCTCCCCCATATAATGTGTAGGAAATAATACTCCAACGATGGATATATTCGTGGCGTAAATCACAAGAGCAGAAACACTGAGATTGTTAACATGTAACAATAACAGTAAAATAGCAACAACAGAATAATAGTGTGTTAACTACTGTTTAAGATGTGCTTTAGGCTTTACTACTGCCAGACAAATCAAAAAGTTATTTAAGTAGGTGGCCCAGTGGCCTGGTGGCTAAAGCTCCCACTTCACACATGGAGGGCCCGGGTTCGATTCCCGGCGGGTGGAAACATTCGACACGTTTCCTTACACCTGTTGTCCTGTTCACCTAGCAGCAAATAGGTACCTGGGTGTTAGTCGACTGGTGTGGGTCGCATCCTGGGGGACAAGATTAAGGACCCCAATGGAAATAAGTTACAGTCCTCGATGACGCACTGACTTTCTTGGGTTATCCTGGGTGGCTAACCCTCCGGGGTTAAAAATCCGAACGAAATCTTATCTTAAGTTCGGTTTTCTTCTCTGAGAAGCGAGTTTGCGCTGCCCTCACAACTAAACTGTTTAGTCAACTCTAACACGGTTGATCTCAGCATGAGCTTTTCAATATTCTTCCTTGAGTACTGCAAGAGTGTTCTGTCTCTGCAACAGTAACTGCAAGAGTGTTTTGTCTCTGCAACAGTAACTGCAAGAGTGTTTTGTCTCTGCAACAGTAACTGCAAGAGTGTTTTGTCTCTGCAACAGTAACTGCAAGAGTGTTTTGTCTCTGCAACAGTAACTGCAAGAGTGTTTTTGTCTCTGCAACAGTAACTGCAAGAGTGTTTTGTCTCTGCAACAGTAACTGCAAGAGTGTTCTGTCTCTGCAACAGTAACTGCAAGAGTGTTTTGTCTCTGCAACAGTAACTGCAAGAGTGTTTCTGTCTCTGCAACAGTAACTGCAAGAGTGTTCTGTCTCTGCAACAGTAACTGCAAGAGTGTTCTGTCTCTGCAACAGTAACTGCAAGAGTGTTCTGTCTCTGCAACAGTAACTGCAAGAGTGTTCTGTCTCTGCAACAGTAACTGCAAGAGTGTTCTGTCTCTGCAACAGTAACTGCAAGAGTGTTCTGTCTCTGCAACAGTAACTGCAAGAGTGTTCTGTCTCTGCAACAGTAACTGCAAGAGTGTTCTGTCTCTGCAACAGTAACTGCAAGAGTGTTCTGTCTCTGCAACAGTAACTGCAAGAGTGTTCTGTCTCTGCAACAGTAACTGCAAGAGTGTTCTGTCTCTGCAACAGTAACTGCAAGAGTGTTCTGTCTCTGCAACAGTAACTGCAAGAGTGTTCTGTCTCTGCAACAGTAACTGCAAGAGTGTTCTGTCTCTGCAACAGTAACTGCAAGAGTGTTCTGTCTCTGCAACAGTAACTGCAAGAGTGTTCTGTCTCTGCAACAGTAACTGCAAGAGTGTTCTGTCTCTGCAACAGTAACTGCAAGAGTGTTCTGTCTCTGCAACAGTAACTGCAAGAGTGTTCTGTCTCTGCAACAGTAACTGCAAGAGTGTTCTGTTCTGCAACAGTAACTGCAAGAGTGTTCTGTCTCTGCAACAGTAACTGCAAGAGTGTTCTGTCTCTGCAACAGTAACTGCAAGAGTGTTCTGTCTCTGCAACAGTAACTGCAAGAGTGTTCTGTCTCTGCAACAGTAACTGCAAGAGTGTTCTGTCTCTGCAACAGTAACTGCAAGAGTGTTCTGTCTCTGCAACAGTAACTGCAAGAGTGTTCTGTCTCTGCAACAGTAACTGCAAGAGTGTTCTGTCTCTGCAACAGTAACTGCAAGAGTGTTCTGTCTCTGCAACAGTAACTGCAAGAGTGTTCTGTCTCTGCAACAGTAACTGCAAGAGTGTTCTGTCTCTGCAACAGTAACTGCAAGAGTGTTCTGTCTCTGCAACAGTAACTGCAAGAGTGTTCTGTCTCTGCAACAGTAACTGCAAGAGTGTTCTGTCTCTGCAACAGTAACTGCAAGAGTGTTCTGTCTCTGCAACAGTAACTGCAAGAGTGTTCTGTCTCTGCAACAGTAACTGCAAGAGTGTTCTGTCTCTGCAACAGTAACTGCAAGAGTGTTCTGTCTCTGCAACAGTAACTGCAAGAGTGTTTTTGTCTCTGCAACAGTAACTGCAAGAGTGTTCTGTCTCTGCAACAGTAACTGCAAGAGTGTTCTGTCTCTGCAACAGTAACTGCAAGAGTGTTTTGTCTCTGCAACAGTAACTGCAAGAGTGTTCTGTCTCTGCAACAGTAACTGCGGGTACTCTGTCTCTGCAACAGTAACTGCAAGAGTGTTTTGTCTCTGCAACAGTAACTGCGGGTACTCTGTCTCTGCAACAGTAACTGCAAGTGTGCTTTGTCTCTGCAACAGTAACTGCAAGAGTGTTTTGTCTCTGCAACAGTAACTGCGGGTACTCTGTCTCTGCAACAGTAACTGCAAGAGTGTTTTGTCTCTGCAACAGTAACTGCAAGTGTGCTTTGTCTCTGCAACAGTAACTGCAAGAGTGTTCTGTCTTTGCAACAGTAACTGCAAGAGTGTTCTTTGCAACAGTAACTGCAAGAGTGTTCTGTCTTTGCAACAGTAACTGCATGTTCTGTCTCTGCAGCAGTAACTGCAAGAGTGTTCTTTGCAACAGTAACGGCAAGAGTGTTCTGTCTTTGCAACAGTAACTTTATGCTCTGTCTCTGCAACAGTAACTGCAAGAGTGTTCTGTCTCTGCAACAGTAACTGCAAGAGTGTTCTGTCTCTGCAACAGTAACTGCAAGAGTCTGTCTCTGCAACAGTAACTGCAAGAGTGTTCTGTCTCTGCTACAGTAACTGCAAGAGCACAAAATATTCTCAGCGTAACGCATACATTTGGGATTAAAGAGCCGAGATTTAAATGATATAAACTCTTTAAATCGAGACGTCAAGTGCTTTCCAGATTTGCTGAATGTTTTATAAATGTCGTAATTCCACTTCCTGGGACACATCTACGATACATTTACTTCACAGATTTTCATCTTTTATTTTTACGTAAGCTACTTTCATCACTGGATACTTCCACGGAACACCAAACTCGAGTTTATATGATGCTTCATACCTCATTGATTTTCTGAACTCGTGTAAATGCCCTTTTTCCCGCTACTGTTATCGTCTGTGAACCTCTCTAACCTTCCATCGCTTTTTCTGACACTGAAGCTGTTGTACCACTTTTTTTTTTTTAGCAACAAGCTTGTTAGGTAAAAGAGAGACATGCAGCTTGTGTGATATTTTATTGTGGCAAAGTTTCGCTCTCCAGGAGCTCTCTTAATCCGGCTTGACAATGCTCCTGGAGAGCCAAAGGTTACCACATTAATTGCATCTAAGTTCCTTTTTACCTAATATTTTGACGGTAATTCTACCATTACTACTAACAAGCTTATACTCTGATAGGATTACCTCCCAGCTATTTGTGAAATATACAAGATCCCAAATCAAGCTTTCAAAACTGTTAATCTTTGTATTTATTGTTGAACTAATGCATTTTAAGATTTATGCTTCTGTAGTCAATGGCTGTTAGAATTTCCAAACAAACTTAAGCTGTAAAGACTCGCTTAAAAGATTTTATACTGGTGAGAATTCCACGCAGTCACGAGCAGTCATATGTCGAACACACTCAAATCTGGCTGACCAACATGTCATACACATGTAAGACACAACCTTACTCATGGCACAGGCACATGCACGGGGCTGTACGAACACGGCGTTGTACAGACACGGCGCTGTACGGACACGGCCCTGCACAGACCCGGCTCTGCACAGACCCAGCCCTGCTCAGACCCAGCCCTGCACAGACACAGCCCTGCACAGCCCTGCACACAGCCCTGCACACAGCCCTACACAGACACAGACCTGCACAGACACAGACCTGCACACAGCCCTGCACAGACACAGACCTGCACACAGCCCTGCACAGACACAGCCCTGCACACAGCCCTGCACAGACACAGACCTGCACACAGCCCTGCACAGACACAGCCCTGCACAGACACAGCCCTGCACACAGCCCTGCACAGACACAGCCCTGCACACAGCCCTGCATAGACACAGCCCTGCACAGACACAGCCCTGCACAGACGTGGCCTTGCCTTCCCTCCCTACAGACCTCTTCCCTGCCACTTCCAACCTTCACTGATCTCACCCACCTTCAGGACATTGTAAATTACGACCAAATAGAAAATGTCTGGTCCAATCAACAAGCAGGAAGTAACATAAATGAAGATAATACTATAAATATATAAATATTACGGAAATATAAAATGTGAATTTAAATGAAAGGTCAGCAAGTTCCAGACACCATCGAAAGGGATGATATATACCATATTCTCAAGAGGATGTTATATAATAAAGGAACGCCTGGGGTAAAAAGAAAAAGCACCAAAAGGAAAACCTGAAATAACTAGAATACGTGAATGCTACGAGTTTGAAGTCTATCAGAAAAAGTTGGAGTGGGAGGATAACCAAAGAAAGAAACGCACTGGGTGAGTGCGAGGATCGATGGATCAGAAAGACTAACTGTTACGAATATAACATGAAGGTAAGGGGAAGGGGGTAAGGTATCTTGTCTAGGGAGATATATATATATATATATATATATATATATATATATATATATATATATATATATATATATATATATATATATATATATATATTATATATATATATATCCTACAAACAACTTGAGCCTAGCGAACTAGGCTTGCTTCAAGTTGCGAGGCCATGTGATGGTGTGGGTGGCTCAGAGCCAATTTCATTCTACTCCCCGTGTGGTGTACTGGCCTCCATAAGCAGTATATATAGTATTGTAACTACGAACAAGTGGTATTTAATCAATAACAACACTGTGACTAGCTGGGGGATCGAACCTATGTTTAAACCCTTCTCATGGTGAGCGAAAATTCACGATGTTCTGACCCACTGGACCACACAATCCTACAACCCTGCTGGTCGCAGTGTTGTTATTGATTAAATGCCACTTGCTCGTGGTTACAATATTGGTCAACAACCAAAATGCTTCCGAGACCAGAGTAGCAATTTCCACCTAATTTTAGGTCACTGATAATGAATATCATGGTTAAAATTGTTTGTTAGCTTTACTTTTCAATATACACCTACGTGTTACAACAGGTTCCAGCAGGCTTGTGGCAGTGTGTTTCTTACTACACTCAGAGTCTGACTGACCTTCATTATTGTTCCAGCAGTCATAGAAGGTGGGTGTGATGTCCAAGTTTATATTTTGAAGTGAAAGGTAGGTGATTTTCTTAGCCAAAAACTTTTTAAACTTGTAATAAAGATTCACTGAGCAAGCTATTGACATGTATGTGAGGCATATTATATTAATTTTATTTTCTTACTGAATGATATAAATACTTCTGCTTAGCTGTCATGCTCTGTATTATTATAATTAATGAGTAAATTGTGTTTATCTTCCAATTGTTTGTTGTATTCTTTTTTCAGATGTCTCGTACTTGTGTGAATAGAGCAGACAACTTCTGCTACATTTGTGGTGAGGTGACCTTTGCATCACAGAAGTGTTGTATAACTGTTATGGGTAAAAAAGCATATCACCTATATTTTGGATGCAAGATTGGTGACCAGGATAAGAACTGGGCTCCGCACACATGCTGCAACAATTGTGCTTCTAACCTTCGCCAATGGTTGAAGAGGAAAGGAATGCCTTTTGCTGTGCCAGTGACATGGCGGGAGCCAACAGACCATACCAACAATTGTTATTTCTGCATGGTACCTCCAGTACAAAAGGACTTGTCAAAGAAAAAAATAGGGTCCACTGAATATCCAAGCATTCCATCAGCTATTCGCCCAATTCCACATGGAGGTCTACCAGTCAGTGGCGGCTCGTGTGTAGGCACTGCGGAACTGCAGCACACTATTTTCACTCGATATTATCGATAACATCCAATATAATGAGTTTTTTTTTAATTCCTTTTTTATACTTGTACATTATATAGTCTTTAAGCTTGATGTCAGTAGACATCCCCCTAATACCTGAAAAATTACAATCCTTGTATGGAACTGTGCGCTACACAGTTCCAGCAACTCGATGTTTGGCTGTTGTGCGCATGTGAACATGTCCGAAATAAGATGCTGCACGCTAGGTAGAGAGAGCACTGTCGCTGACGCAGTGCCGACCCTGTTATGCAAGTGTAAGGTAGTGTTCCTTTTTGACTCAGTGACGTGTGTTGTGCTTAAAAAACATGTACCATATTCTTGAATGTGATAGTGTAGAATTAAATGATTATCATGCTTCCAGCTATTTTAATTCATAGTTTTTTTCGGTTCTTTTATTTTACAGAAAATTTAAATAATTTAATCATGGCCTCCTTGCATCCACAAGAAATAAGTTCTGTGACTGTAAGTGAATTTCAACAGCTTACGTTTTCACAGTTCTTTCTCCATGAGAAAGTTACAGTTAAGAAAAGAGGCCGTTCAACACCTGATATTCAAATATCTCAGCCAGGAATTAGCAACAAGAAGAAGTATATATGCTTGTTTCGTTTTAGACAATATTAAAACAATGGCTAAAAAATTTCTGAAGCAGCAGCAGCACTAATTTTAGCTACGAGCCGCCACTGGCTACCTGTTCCTGATGCAAATGGGGCACAAGAATGCTTGCAGACTATTGCTGGACATTAGCAAGAGATGATTCTTCACCCACTATAAAGGTCAAGTAAAAAGGCAGAGAGTAAGTATGGATTAGAGTTAAAAACATACTGACACATATTGTACGTTATAATAAAATAATCAAATGTTACATGTCTTGTATCTTTAAACCTACAACCAATAAGCATTTTTCAAGGTGATATTTGGATTCAGGACATGAAAATACACAAGGAAGAAAAATGTATCTTCAAATGTATAAGAGAAAATTTTAGAAAGGACTTAATTTTAAATGAGTTCTTGCTTATTGACCAATTTTACCTATTCGGCACGACATTAATATATTAAATTATAATATAATATATATAATATATTATATATATAAATATTTCTATACATATATATATTAAATATATATATATATATAATTATATATATATATCATATATATATATTATATAAATATAATATATATTATATATATATATATATAATCCAATAACACTGCGATTAGCCAAGGACTCGAACCCATGATGTTTTGGCTCGCCTCATGGTGAACGAAAATCACATGACGCGCTAACCCACAGGACCACCAAATCCTACAAGAACCAAGCACCCAGCCAAGCTAGGTGCGTTACCCTTGGTCCAAGGACATAGGGTGATGTGGGTGTGTCTGAGCTAATTTCATTGTACTCCCTGTTTGGTGTACTAGCCCAACAAGCAGTATTTTATATTGTAACCACTCGTTTGTGGTTACAATAATATTTACAGATAGTTATTTACAAATAAGCCACTCTGTCCCCATGTTTCGTAAACTACATAGAATGTTGAACAGATGGTCAATACTTTAGGTTTGATTATCATGAAGGGTAAATAAACTCAATTTTAAACAATATATATATATATATATATATATATATAATATATATATATATATATAATATATATATATATATATATATATATATATATATATAATCAGGTAACCATATATACAACACAATTGAATAAATACGATACACCAGTAGACCTTTACAAGTTATTACAATCAAAACTAAGTGCTTGACCCGCAAGAGTTATACAACACTGGAAAATACATTACTAATGGCGTCTGTGGATCGCTATACTTTCCTGCCAGCTTCCAGCATGCTGGTAAAATGCGATTATTTCTGTATTCTCCACTATTCACATAGTCTTCACATAAATACCAGGGCCAGGTCCAGTGCCAGGGCCAACTTAACAGTACAAAAGAAATTTCCAAAAACTATCTATAGCCTAGATATTGCTAAAATAAACAAATACTACTCAACTCAACCTGGCTCCAGCACATCTTCCCAGCGATGCTAGCCCCTGAGAAGCTTTCACAATAGTCAGTGCTACAATAGCCCTTGAGAAGCTATCACAATAGTGCTACAGTAGCCCTTGAGAAGCTATCACAATAGTGCTACAATAGCCCTTGAGAGGCTATCACAATAGTCATACTGCTACAGTAGCCCTAAAGAGACTATCGCAGTAGTCACACTGCTACAATAATAGCACCCACAAACAAATGGCATTATAAAATTACAGATCTCTCTTTTCACTATAAACACCTTACTTTATTAACTTCAAATTAATGCAGAAACCTGAATAATGCCAATTAATATTCTTAATATTTTTCATGGACAAGACACAGGTAAAAAAAATTATACAGTTTATACTTCATTACTCTTATTGACTGCCATAAACAACCATGAACGTATTAAAGTAAAAGAATAATGTTTAAGATAAACACTGATTGGAAAGCAAACATTTCCAATGTTTTCCTTCGAGACTACAGTACTTTTTGGGTTCAGACTATCGGTGTTAAACCTTCCTTATATAGACCTGATGTTTTGTACACAGTTCTGAATGAGATTTTGCTAAGGTCTCTGTTTGTAGATTTGAGAATTACTCTCCAGTGTTGATGTTGTGGAGTTTATGTAAATCTCGGGTGATATATTTGGTATGATGTTTAAGAGCGCCATGATTACCTTCAAATCGCTTGTTTTCTCTAGGCTGGAATATTGCTGCACACTAATGGCATCTTTCAAAGTAGGCGAAATTGTAGACCTAGAGAATGTACAGAGAACTTTCACGGCACACACAAGTACGATAAAGCACCTAAATTACTGGGAACGGTTGAAGTCCCTTGATTTGTACTCCCTGGAACGCAGGCGAGAAATATGCATGATAATATGCACTTGAAAATTTCGAGAGGGATTAGTCCCAAATCTGCATACGAAAATCATTCCCTAAGACAGCAAAAAGACTGGACAGGCAGTGCAACATCCCTCAATGAAAAACTGGGGCGCCGTACACTAAGAGATAACACAATAAGTGTCAGGGACCCAAGATTGTTCAACTGCCTCCCAGCACACATTAGTGGGATTACGATCAGACCCCTGGCTGTCTTCAAGAAGGCACTGGACATGCACCTATAGTCAGCACCTGACCAGCTGGGCTGTGGTTCGTATGTTGGTTTGTGTGTGGCCAACAGTAACAGCCTGGTTGATCAGGCTCTGGTCCACCACGAGGCCTGGTCTCAGACCGAGTCGCAGGGGCGTTGATCCCCGAAACACCTTCCAGGTATACTCCAGGAAATTCTCCTTCAAGTTGTATATCTCTCTCTCCCCCCCCCCCCCATTAATTTTCATGACCTGACATTTGGACTGAAGTCTAGCACCCACTTTACCGCTCTTGTAGGCAGTGTTCCTGCAGTCTCTCACTAATCTGTTACGTTCTTATTCTTCCCATTGTTTTAAATTTACAAACAATGGCACACAGTATTGTAGTCCCTCTGATAGGTTATTTACAGATATAAAACAACCATCCTTGCTGAGCCTTGGGAGGTCCCTCATATTTCCCCTTCCCGCTCTTTTTGAAAGTTCTAGTTATCCACTCTACCATTTTCCTTGCAGCTACAATAATGACATTGCTGTGCTGCTTGAACGTGAAGATCTGACAGTATCATTTCCAGGTCTTTCTTAGACTTGTGCTCTGTTGAGTGATTTGAATTGATCTTGTTTATCTAGTTTTTATTTCGTCCATTCTTCCGTGAGGTTATATGTGATATTAATCAGTAAACATCATATTGTTGTCAGTGGCCCACTGGAAGACTGTTTATAACAGCTTGGTGGCTGTCTTCTAGGGACGCCACTCTCGTGTTTTTACTAGATTCTGTTTATTCTTTAGGTTCTTTTAGTTAGGAGGTTAAATATCCATCAGCCCACGTTTCTAATTATTCCTATGCCCGCAGTTGGTGCGCAATTTCCCCCATGGTCGTACCTGTCTGTCTTTTGTAAAGTCTGTTTATACTACATCTGTATTAAGCTTGCCTTTAGTGTATTCATCGACATGTAATGGTCCGGCAATTGCAAAAGGCAAGAGCGATCTATTCTGAACCCATGTTGACCTAGACACTGCAACTTCTGCGATTCCATGTGACTGGTAATCTTGCCTCTGAAAACTCTCCCATGAATCTCGATAATGTTGCGGGTTAGAGTGATCGGTCTATAGTTCTTTTTATCAATTGCTTTGCTGCCGCATTTGTGGAGTTGGGCTATATCAATGGTGTTTAATGACACTAGGATGACACCAGTGCCCAGTCTCCTCTATAGAATAAGGCAGGTGATAATGACTTCTTGAAATTCCCGATGAATATGGAGGTCCACGAGTCATGGTCTGGGGTGGAGTGCGTGGGCTTACAATCACTGGCTTAGGTTTACTGGGTTTGAATCACCGTTCTCAAGGCCGCACATAAGTGTGTTGACTAACGCGATTCAGCACTGTTATGTTTACTTTTGAACCTGGAGTTCTGGCCTTAAGTGTATCCTCAAATTCAAATTTCGAATTCAAAAACTTTTATTTCTTTGCATAGTATACAACGTGTAGTTTAGATATGATGCGGTATTGTTAACCACAAAGAGAACCACTAGCATTCATGAGCATTTCTAGTTTGCTAGTTCTCTGAGCATTCAGTTCTGTTTACATTGTTCTGAGTTATTCCAGAGATGTGTGGTACACTTTGTGTGCCCTGTTTTTTCACACAGGGTTTGACAAGGTTAGGTTAAGGATCCCTAACTTTATTGACAAGCTAGTTACAGGTTAAGGATCCCTAACTTTATTGACAAGCTAGTTACAGGTTAAGGATCCCTAACACTATTGGCAAGCTAAGAGCTGTTACCTACATCAGCTCAATTGAAAGCATTTTTATTGTTACGAAACATACAAGTACCTACCTGGAGGCTACCTGGAGGGTATTCCGGGGATCAACGCCCCCGCGGCCCGGTCCATGACCAGGCCTCCCGGTGGATCAGGGCCTGATCAACGAGGCTGTTGCTGCTGGCCGCACGCAATCCAACGTACGAACCACAGCTCGGCTGATCCGGCACCGTCTTTAGGTATCTGTCCAGCTCCGTCTTGAAGACAACCAGGTGTCTTCCCGTAATGCCCCTTATTGCTGGTGGGAGGCTGCTGAACAGTCTTGGGCCCCGGACACTTATTGACTTTTCTCTTAGTGTAGCAGTGACGCCCCTACTTTTCACTGGGGGTATGTTGCATCGCCTGCCAAGTCTTTTGCTTTCGTATGGAGTGATTACTGAGTGCATATTAGGGACCAGTCCCTCCAGAATCTTCCAGGTGTAGATTATGATAAAACTCTCTCGTCTGTGCTCTAGTGAGTACAAGTCAAATGTTTCCAGGCGCTCCTAATAGTTAAGGTGTTTGATGGAACTTATACGTGCAGTAAAGGTTCTCTGTACATTCTCTAGCTCTGCAATTTCACCTGCCTTGAATGGGGATGTTAATGTACAGCAGTATTCCAGAATAAGTGATAGGGAACAGGATGAAGTTGGAGCCATCTGTGGGCCAGCATTTTCATTTGATCAACTGACTTTATCTCGTTGATATCATAATGCTGTACGAATGTGTTCCATACTCGAGTCATCCTGGGGATAAATGATCTCAGATGAAGTGATGTTCTGGAGAAGGGTACAGCCAGAGTGAAGTTACTGCTCTTCTCTCTCTCTCTCTCTCTCTCTCTCTCTCTCTCTCTCTCTCTCTCTCTCTCTCTCTCTCTCTCTCCCTCCCTCCCACTCTCCCCTCCCTCCCGTTCCTACCA